GACACCTATGCTCCATAGGTAACGTATTGGTATTTCAAATACTAATCGCATTGCTCCAGTATTACAGAGACACACAAGCCACAACAATACAACAAACTAACAAATGAATGGTAATGTACTTAACTATTTACACAACATTGTCTCTTTTCAAGAGGCAATACTCAAGACTACTTGTCTTTTGAGAAGGTGGTCACCAAATTTGCAAATATAGCTTTTGTTTATAATAAAAGAAACTAGAGCCATTATTTTCTTAGTTATCTGCACTTGCTTTCCATAGCTCGGTTAAGGTATCACTTTCGATTTAGGCACTGAGATACTTCACACAGACACTGATTGTTCAGGACTCTTTCTATGTGAAATTTTAGGCAAGGTAGCAGAAATCTTGCTGAGCTGTATCTATGAGAAAGAGTGCAATAAATAGCATCCCCTCACCTTAACCCTCATCCCAGAAACAGGTAACAGGATGCATTTTTTTCCCTTCCGCCAAGGCCTCTTCTCTTTAAAGTTTGACTTTCCATCTGACTTCTCAGATGATTTATTGTTTCACGTTATGGCAAGTCCACACACTAAAAAGAGCTGCAGAGGCTGGATTCTCCTTTAGGTCCACATCTCCTAACCACCCCACCCTGATGTTTTTGGTTAGACGCTTCCTCCACTAATGTGGCCTTAACTTCCGAAATACTAACTCCTAGTTCTGGATATGAAGTGATTTTAAGCATTCGTTTTCAAGCGTCCTAAAGAAGACTGAAAAGATGTATTGTACCTTTAGTAAGTGCTTCTTAAATGAGAGGTTGAACATAAATCTTTTACATATGCTTTGCTGTTGTGTACTGTTGAGTCAGAACCTAATCACATGGTGGGAGACTGCCCATCTTTCTCCTGCAGAACAGCTGGTGGCCTCAAAGCACATGCCTTTGAGATTGCAGCTCAGCTTCTTGCCACTAGGCTATCAGAGCTCCCTCGGGACAGTGGTGAGGACTCTTATTAGTAATTATAATATCATGATTCTTTGCAAAGAGACAGAATGCAAAAGATTCATCACAGCTACTACAACCCCTCTCAACAAATCACTAAGAGAGCTGAGAAGCAGTAAACATGGACCTGAGCAAACTTTGAGAAAAGAGAACCAAGGATATTAGGAATCATTTTGAATTCTGGTGAAAATAAAGAATCACTGGTATTCCATGATTTAAACTAGATAGCTTTCTCTTTTCCTCATAAAAAGGTTTATAAATATAAATAGGAGCAAGAGATCAGAATACACAAGCTCGGTTTAGAAGAGGTCATGGCACTAGAGATGTTACTGCCAATGTCAGATGGATCTTGGCAGAAAGTAAAGAGTACCAGAGGAATGTCTATCTGTGTTTCATTGATTTTGCAAAGGCATTTGAGTGTATGGAACACAACAAATTGTGGCTAGCCTTGAGGAGAATGGAAATCCCAGAACACTTGACTGTGCTCATGCAAAACCTATACTTGAACCAGGAACCAGTTCTCAGAACAGAGCAGGGAAACACTGCATGGTTCAAAATCAAGAAAGGAGTACGTCAGGGATGCATTCTGTCTCCATATGTTTTCAACCTCTATGCAGAACAGATCATTCTGAAATTGAAATAAAAAAACAAACTGCATTGGGAAAATCTGCTGTCAGTGACCTCTCCAGAGTACTGAATAGCAACGATGTTAGTCTAGAGACTAAAGCGTGCCTAATCCAGGCCAGATCATTTGGGAAGCAGGGCTTTAAGAGGAGGAATGTAGTGTCAGGATTGGAAATAGACTCATCAACAACCTACGTTATGCAGATGACACAACCATGCTTGCTGAAACTGAGGAGGACCTGAAGTGCTTGCTGCAGAAAGTCAAGGACTGTAGTCTTCAATATGGACTGAAGTGACTGAAGTTCAACATCAAGAAGACAAAGATTCTTACCACTGGGCCAATTGGCAGCACCACGATAAATGGAGAAGAGATTGAGGCTGTTAACAATTACAGCTTGCTTGGCTCCATAATCAACACTCTTGGCACCAGCAGTCAGGAGATCAAAAGACTAAAACTGCACTGGGAAAATCTGCTGTCAGGGATTTCTCTAGAGTAGTGAAAAGCAGCAATGTTAGTCTAGAGATTAAGATGTACCTAATCTAGGCCATGGCCTTTTCTATTACATGCTATGCTTCACAGCTGGACAATGACTAAGATTGACAGAAGAAGAATCAATGCCTTAGAATTGTGGTGCTAGGAAAGAGTCTTGAGCATAACATGGACTACCAAGAAAACAAATACATCTGTCTTGAAGAGGGTGAAACCAAGTTTCTCTTTGGAGGCTAGGATTTTGAAGTTCCATCTCACATACTTAGGACATGTGGCTAGGAGAGAACAGTCCCTGGAGAAAGACATCATGCCCAGAATGGTGGAGGGACAGTGCAGGAGAGGAAGACCCAGATGAGATGGATTGACACAGTGACTAGGGCAGTGGGAGTTAGTGTGTTGGAATTAGTGAGACTAGCTAAGGACAGGGCAAGGTTCAGAGCTGCTGTACAACAACATGGCCTAAGTAGGTCCCTTCTGACTTACCCCACTGTGATTCATTTTTAGCAAACACACTTGGCTGTCTAGGACAAAGCAGCTCTTCACGATAGTCCCCAAGGGTTGCACTATAATTCTAAGGTAAGACGCATAGTAGGTACTCAATATTTAATGAGTACATGTTTCTACAGGCACATTGTCTATGCTTTTTAAAGTATACTCACATACATTGTTTTACTGTAGTTTCTGAATAAGAATATGAGACTGAGGGGAGAAAAGTTCATTTATCAGAACTGGCTGCATTTAACTTATGACAATATTAAAAATATAGAAGACAAAAAGCAAAATAGGCTAGTACTTTGTTCTTTCCAGTCCTTTCTATCTTGTTATATATGAACCTCTCCTTTGTCTGGGATGTCTTCCATGCTTCTAAGCATCTTTTGAGACTTGACTTCAAGACTTGACTGCACTTTGAAATCTCTTTATGTAGTACAAAGTGATCAAAAATAATACACTACACATAATCTTCTAAATACTTATTCGCTTATATGCCTCCCTCCTACATACTTGATGAGGAGAGGGAGTACTGATCCCCCCCCACACCCCCCTCTCTCTCTTTCCTTCTGTCATAATCAGTTGCTATTGGGAAAATTTGGATTCATAATGGTCTCATGTATGTCAGAGTAGAACTGTGTACACATCATAGGCTTTCAATTACTGGTTTTTGGGGAAAACATCGCCAGACCTTTCTTCTGAAGTGCCTCATAGCATAAACCTCCAATCTATCAATCAACAGCTGAGCACATTAACCATATGCATCACTCAAAGATTCTCATATAGTGACTGACAGTAAAAATCCTTATTGACTGAATGACTCTTCATTCATACATTTATGAGCTTCACTCCTACTTCTGAACTCCTAGAGAAACTTTTGCTCTTACAAGGCAATTAGCCTATGGTCATAAGAATAAGAAAAAGATGTTTTATCTCCTTGATTGCTTGTATTTCTCACTAAAAGTGTTACATATACTCTACTAGAGTTTAGACGTTCAATGTGCGCTGACTATGGCATATGACTATGTAATCTCATTCAAAAATGAGATTATATAATTCAATTTAGAGGCAGGTTTAAAGTAAAAACATATGTATGGTAAACATCTCTGATTATGCCATATATACACCCATGCAAGTAAAATGCTGTCAAATCTTCAGAAAGTTCCCAGTGATCACAGGATATTTAAAGGAGCAAGGAAATTCCAATAATTGTAAATATAGAAATGGCTTTTCACAATAGTCAAATCCTTACTTTAATGTGCTCTCTCTACATGTGCATTAACCCACCCACTCAAATGCCTTCTTTTCCCAAGATGCACATGGAGTGTTTGTAAAGAGATTCAGATTTGTGGGGCTAACATAGAGATTAATGCAAGAAATATCAGTTTCCCCAGATGTAAGTCACAGTAGACAAGAGACTATAATTTTCTAGGATATTTTATGATACCAGCTGGTAGATCACAGACCTACCTAAACAAAACTCTGATGGAAGAAAGCAAACGTGGTTACAATTATTCATACTCCTACTGTGAGAGTTTCATAAACAAACTAATAAATATTTTCATCTTGTAATAAGATCAAGTTAAGTGATTTGCTGACATTCTCTTGAGGTTTAAAGCTTGTCTTTAATGTGAAATACAAATAATATTTCTTGTGGACACATTTTAATAATAAACTTAAAAGCACACGAGGCAAAAATAATGAAAACACTGCAATGAGAACCAGACAAACTATCTACCACTTCAAAAGGAATGGGTGAAGACTGCTCGTCAACACCCTGATACAAACAACCTCAACACAAAATGCCACATATTGAAATCAGGTTTCATGGATAGAGATTCTGTAGGGATAAGAGATTGAAAATCAGCTATTCCTTGAAAATAGGTAAGTTACCATACAAAAAGATATTTACCTAAAACGCACATCCATGTACACACAGATAAACTGAGACAGATTATATTTGGGTTCAATTCAAATACTTCCAACCTTTATGCAAAACTCCACTGGTAAAGAAATAGCCTTAGTCCCTTTTTGTATTAGGAAATGATCCATAATGTTTGCTATATTATCAGTTGTTTTCAAGTAAATTTCAACCCATGACAATCCCCTGCCTGTCATAGTAGGACTATGATCCTAACGTGATCTCATTGGATGAGTATTCATAAATAGATAGCTGGTCCTTTCTCTGAGGCTCCTCTGGGTGGAGTAAAGCCTCTAAACATATTGTTGAGCAGTCCAGGGCATGAATTGCTTGCACTATCCAGGGATGCGATCAAATGTCCTGGCTTCCTAAGTATTTCCAAGCTGTTCCCTAAGGTAAGAAATTGGAACACTCAATGTCTCTAGGAGCATTCTTGGGGGAGGAGTCCTCAAAGTCTCTCATTCTGCTACACTGGTCTGAATGCCATTGTATAGAGGCTCACCTCTGGGTCCTGTGATGACAGGTCTGTGATGCTGTGTGAATGCCGTTCCCAAGGAGGAAGTCTGTGAAGGTGAGGGGCTGCTGAAACCAGACTTCTCTGACTTCTTCAATGTGGTTGGAGATGGCATTCCTGGCAAAAAGAATTGATTGACAAGCCCAGTTAAAATTAAGAAACAACGGCTCGAGAAACCTAAAATGATAAAAATTGGATAATTAAATTAAAAACTGGTTATTTAAAAAATAATAATTTCTCTGGGAGAGGAATTTTTTTTTTTTTAAAAAATGTATACTACAACAAACAGGTGACATAAAGGTCCCAAGTTAAGTTAGTGAATTTAAATGTATTCTATTAAGCACAGACCATCTGGGGAGCTATTGATAGTTTCTAATTATAAAAAGGTCTCTCTCTCTTTTTTTTTCAGTGCCTTAGGGAAATTATTTTCTGTATCCATGAATTCCATGACTTCCCACACTCTCTAATAGGTTACATAAGCACACAAACACCCTACATGCAACCATTCACTTCTGCCAGCTAAACTGGTTTGACTCCCAAATATTTTCTCCATGCTTTAAATAATTATAAATACATAAATTCAACAATGGTAACCCAGTTATTCTGTCAATGGATTACTTGGAAAAGAAAACAATTTTAAAAATGAAAATGTTCGACTACTGGGAATAAGTTAAATGAATTTGTATAACCAATGGAAATAATACCAGAGAAGAATAATACCAATTTAAGCAGGGCAGGGGGGAACCCACTACAATTGCAAAATATGATGTTATTCTAAAATGCCATTTCTTTCTATGCACTGGGAACAAACTGGAAGGAAATATGCATAAATAAACTGTCAAGAGTAGTTCTCTGTATTCCATTGAATTAAGTGATTTTTTTCTTGTATTTTCTATGATGAACATAGCTTGTTTTTATGCTATGGAAAGAAAAATAAAATACCTTTTTTCAAAAACAGTGGTTTTACTATGGTGTTTTCAGGTTCCCCCAACAATATTAGCATGGGAAATGCTTTAAGTGGACAATAGTGAGGAAACAGTCAATTGTAATGACTGGATTTGTTAATGTTCTCAGTAGCCACCCTTACACACCTGGAGGCATCTACCAGCTTTGTACAATGCCAATGAAAAACTGGATATTATGATAAGAAAGGGAATTACTCTCAGTGCACATACATGTCACCAGGCAAGCCTGAGCTCCTTTAAGTTTGTGGCACAAAATTAGTCTTCATTGACGACTAAGGAATCCTATCTCGTTTTACTCATCCACTCATAATTCTGTTATATCTATGATAAGAGGATCATTTGGGTGAAAGATATGACTAACAGATAATAATGATACTAGCATGTAATGCCTATTAAACAGTTGCTAGCTATGCCGAGCACTTTGTAAGTATTGGTTTGTAAAGAAATACAGTTAGTTTGATCTACAAATAACAAAATGGTCATTATTTCTAATCTCAGATTTGCCTACCAAGATTCTTTAACTTGACCCTGAAGTCTGACTTCAGATTCTAGAAGATAAGAGCCCATATCTGGTTAGCCTCCTTTCTGTCACCTTCACAGAGTATTGAACCCAAGTATATAAAATGATAAAAACAAACAAAAAAGCCCACTCAAGCCCAGGGCCACTGAGCTGATTCCAACTCATAGTGACTCTGCTTTGGGTTTACAAATCCATAAATCTTAACAGTAATAGGCCACCCATCTTCCTTTTGGGGAGCAACCAGTGTATTCCAACTTCTGGAGACATGTGGCCTTTGGTTAGCAGTACAACATACTATGAACTGTGCCATCAGTGCTCCTTACAGCACACAGACAGTTGATGTTATTATGTACTGTTATCACCTACAGCTGCTCCACTAGTGGGTTTTCAGAGGCTGTAAATCACATGGAAAAAAGGCTTTCCAGGTTTCCAGGCCTATCCTGCTTGAATCTAAGAGGCTGAGCAAGGGATGGTGGTGTCAAAAGACTGACCAAAAAAGGCCAGGTGCTGACTGTGGACTACACTATCAATTACTCATGTGCAAGTGCAAACTGAGGCCGAAGAAAATGAAAACAAGTCAGTGAGAAACTAAACATGATCTTAAGTCTATTCCATCTGCATTTAAGAAGAGATTTGATGGAAACGAGTTGTGGGATGACATTAAGGATATCATAAATGAAGAGAGTAAAAGGTCTTTACTAAGACAGAGACAGAGGAGAAAGAAAAAACCAAAATGGAAGTCAGACAAGACTCTGAAAATTGAATTAGAGTTTTGAAAAGCCAAAACAAAAAGAAGAAATGCTGGAGATAAACAGAAAATGTCAAAGGGCATATTAAGAAGACAAAGCAAAGTGTTATAATGGAATGTGCAGATAACCGAAATTGGAGAATAAAAAGGAAATAACTCGCTCGTTATTTCTAAATTTGAAAGAACTGAAAAACATATTGAAGTTTTGAGTTTGAATATTGAGACATGCTATGGGAAAAGTCTTGAATGATCTAGGAAGCATCAAAAGAAGATGGAAGAAACACACAAAGTCACTGAACCAAAAAGAATTTTCCAACACTGCACTGAGATATTGGCAAAAAAATAAGGCCCCAGGAATTGAGGGAATACCAATTGACATGTTTTAAGAGACGCAGCCTTAGATCTGCTCACTAGGAAATTTGGAGGACGGCTGCCTGGCTGGCTGACTGGAAGAGATACTATTCTCAAGATAGGTGATTCAATAGAATGTAGAAAGTATTGATTAACATCACATGCAAGCAAAATATTGCTGAAGATCATTACAAAATGGCTAGAATGGTACATCAGCAGAAAACTGCTAGAAGTTTAAGCCAGGTTCGAAGAGGCTGTGGCACTAGGGATATCATTGTTGATGTTGGATGGATCCTGGATAAAAGCAGAGAACACCAGAAAAATGTTTATTTATACTTTACTTATGAATGAAAAGGCATTTGACTGTGTGGACCCTGACAAATTATGGCTAACATTGAGAAGAATGGAACTCCCAGAACACTTCATTGTGTTCATGCAAAACTTATATAAGAAAGGTGTGCTTGAGGGTTGCATTTTTCCTCTTCATATCAATTCAAACTGTATACTGAGCAAATTATTCAAGAAACTGGACTCTACTGGAGGGAGACTCATCAAGAATCTATGTTATGCAGATGACAAAACCTTGCCGGCTAAAAGTGAGGCAGACCAGAAGCGCTTGCTGGAAAAGATCAAAGAATATAGCCTTCAATATGGATCTCAACAGAGAGAAAACAAAACTCCTCACCTCTGGATATGTAGGCAACATCATGAGAGATGGATTAAAGATTAACTGTCAACAACTTCTACCTGGATCCATAATCTACACTGTTGGTGTTAGCAGTCAGGAGATCAGGAGACATACTGCATTGGAAAAGTCTGTTTTCAGGGACCTCTCCAAATTATTGAGGAGTAATGATACCAGTTTGAAGACTAAGGTACATCTGAGAGCTGGATAATGAATAAAGATAATAGAAGAATTGATGCCTTTGAGCTTCGGTGCTGGATGAGAGTTCTGAGTTTCCCTTGAACTGCCAAAAGAGTGAGCAGATAGATATGTCTTGGAGAAGGTGTAGCCAGCATGTTCCCTGGAGGTAAAGATGGCATACTGTGGGCACCTTGCTGGGAGAGGCTATTTCTTGGAGAGGGACATTATTCCTGGAAAGGCAGAGCATAAGAGAAAGATAGGTAGACTGTAAACCAGATGGATTAACGCAGTGACTGCAGCAATGGGCTCCAGTGAGCCACGGATGAGGATGGTGGCAGAGGATAGGACAGGGTTTAGATCTGTTGTTCACAGGGTTGCTGTGAGTCATACTGGACATGATGGAACCTAACAATGGCAGCCAACAAAATTACATGGGAGAGTGCTCATTGTTTTCCTGCAGTAGCTGATAGATTCAAACTGCATGCCTTCAGGTTGCAGGGCAATTCCTTACTGTGAAGCCAGTCTGAGCTCCTTACCAACCCTTACCATCAAAGCTCCTTAAGAACACCTAAGTATTCTCTAGAGATGTTTACATTATATGTAGAGGTTTTGACTCTATTCATGACTTTACTCATGAATTCTTGGAGATACAAACTTTGATACTTTGAGTCCAGGAGAGGAACAGGTGACACTATGGCAAACATGTCAAACATAGTAAGCATAACCAGAAGTGCTATGTGATTTCATATTAACTGGAAATGTCTGACTCAGATCAATGTTTAGGTGATTTAAATTAAAAACAAACTCCCTGAGTTAAAGGCCTTAAATGCTATTTGCTTGTTTACTGAATTTGTAGCCAAAGGCACACTATACCAATGTTTTATAACAGTTAGGATGAATTGGGGTTTGGGGTTAACATGCATTATCAGTAAGATCAACCTCGAAGGGATAGGACTGTGTCGAGTGTGTCCGAAATATTAATAGTTTAGAGTTGTTGTTGTTGTTGATGATGTTATGTGCCATCGAGTTGCCAGTGACTCATAGAGACTTTAGGTGCATCAACTCTGAAGCCTGCCCTGTCCTGAGCCCATCTCACTGACACAGACACACCTACCCCCATTACCCCTGTTACTGTCTCAATCCTTCTCATTCAGGGTCTACCTCTCCCTTCACTGTCCCTTAGAGAGGAAAGTTCAAATAATAAAGGAGCAAAGAGTAACCAAAAGCTAAACAAACATCCCAATTTATTCAAACATCTTTTGTGCAAAACATTGTTTAGACTGCCAATCAGTTCACTGATCTAAATTCAGTCAAACGCCTGAATTATGTAGCATGAATCAGAAATAATGCAGAAAATGAAAATGTCAAAATTCTTAAGATGCCACTTTCCCCCCCTCAGGTAGTGGAATAACTTATGAAATTTAGTGTTTAATTTAACCTTATTAGAGAAAGCAAAAACAGGTGTAGTGAGGAAAATTGTATATTGAAAAATTCTCAATGCTGCAGAAATATTCGTATGACTTAAACTGAGTATTTACTCTTATTAAAAGGAAGTAAAAGGTAGGCAGTGACAAGAATCGAGAACATACGATTGCTGTCTGAGTTCAAAGCAGCAAAATAAAAATTCTCTTTGAAAGGGTTAATGAAGGAAGAAATATTGTCTGTATA